TGGGATTGTAGACTGTAGTGTGGTAAGCCTTTGATTTACATCTAATTCCCACTTATGAGTGAATACATATCATGTTTGTTCTGGGTCTGGGTTATCTCACTTTAGGATTTTTTTTTCCTAGTTCCATCCATTTCCCTGAAAATTTCATGTCATTGTTTTTCTGCTTTTTTTTTTTCTTCTGAGTAATACTCCACTGTGTAAATGTACCACATTTTCCCTATCCATTCTTCAGAAAAGGGGCATCCAGATTGTTTACAGGTTCTGGGTATTACTGCTATGAATATAGCTGAGCAAATGTCCTTGTGGTATGAGTGTACATCCTTTGGGTAGATGCTCAAGAGTAGTACTGCTTGGTCTTGAGGTTGATTCTCAATTTTCTGAGAAAATGCTATACTGATTTCCAAAGTGCCTATACATGTTTGCACCCCCACCAGTTATGGAGGCGTGTCCCCCTTACTCCACATGCTCTCCACCATGAACTGCTATCAGTGTTTTTGATCTTAGCCATTCTGATAGGTATAAGGTGGTATCTCAAAGTTGTTTTGATTTGCATTTCACTGATGGATAAGATGTTAAGCAATTCCTTAAATGTCTTTCAACAATTTGAGTTTCTTCTGTTGAGAATTTTCTTTAGATCTGTACCCCATTTCATAATTGGATTGTTTGGTATTTTGTTGTCTAGTTCTTGAATTCCTTATATATTTTAGAGATCACCCCTCTGTCAGATGTGGGGTTGGTGAAGATCTTTTCCCATTCTGTAGGTGGTCATTTTGTCTTATAGACAGTGCACTTTGCCTTACAGAAGCTTCTCAGTTAAAGGCGGTCTTATTTATTAATTGTTGCTCTTAGTGTCAGGGCTACTGGTGTTATATTTAGAAAGTGGTCTCCTGTGCCCATGTGTTCAAGGCTACTTCTCACTTTCTCTTCTATCAGGTACAGTGTAACTGGATTTATGTTGAGGTCTTTGACCCATTTGGATTTAATTTTTGTGCATGGGGATAGATAGGGATCTATTTGCATTTTTCCTCATGTTAGTATTTAGCTATGACAGGACCATTTGTTGAAGAAGCTTTTTTTCCCATTGTACAATTTTTGCTTCTTTGTAAAAATCAGTGTTCACAGGTGTGTGGATTAATATCAGGGTCTTCAATTTGATTCCATTAATCTACATGTCTGTTTTTATGCCAATAACAAATTATTTTCATTACTATAGCTCTATATCAGAATTTGAAGTCAGGGATGGTAATGCCTCCAGAAGTTTCTTTATATTATAAAGGATTGTGTTAGCTATTTTAGGTTTTTTGTTTTTCCATATCAACTTCAATACTGTTCTTTCAAGGTCTGTGAAGAATTATGTTGGGATTTTTAGGTGATTGCATTGAATCTGTAGATTGCTTTTGATAGGATTGTCCTTTTATTATGTTGATCTTCCCTATCCAAAATCATGGCAGATCTTTCCATTTTCTGATGTATTAAATTTTTTTCTTCAAAGACTTTAAGTTTCTTATCATATAGGTCTTACACATTTAGTTAAAGTTACCCCAAGACAGTATGGTATTGGTGGCTATTATAAAGGGTGATGTTTCTCTGATTTCTTTCTCGGTCTGTTTATTATCTGTATATAGGAGAGATACTGATTTGTTTTTTTTTTTAGTTAATCTTGTATCCTGACATATTACTGAAGGTGTTTATCAGCTGTAGGAGCTCCCTAGTAGAAATTTTCAGGTCACTTATGTATGCTATTATATCATCTGCAAATACTGAAAGTTTGACTTCTTCCTTTACATTTTGTATCCCTTTGATCTCCTTTCCTTGTCTTATTGTTCTAGCAAGAACCTCAAGTACTATATTGAGTAGGCATGGACAGAGTGGACAGCCTTGTCTTCTTCCTAATTTTAGTGGTTATCACTTTGAGTTTCTCTTCAATTAGAATTGGTGACTGTTAGCTTGCTCTACATTCCATTTTTATGTTTTGGTATGTTCCTTGTGGCCAACCAATGATTGGTCTAACTTGAAGCCCAAGCTGTGAGAGGAAGCCCATGCCTAACACTGTCTGGATGGTCACGAGCTAAAACCTGGATGGCTCAGAGAACTAGGGTAGGACCAAATGCAACTGACTAAGAAAAAAAAAATCAATGGAAAGATTCATAACTATAATCTGTTATAATCATAGATTGGTACCTAGCGAAATTGTCATCAGAGGGGTTTCTTCCAGCAGCTTATGGGAGCACATGCAGAGATCCCTTCCTAAACATTAGCTTGAGCTCCAGGAATCCTGTGGAAGGAGGGGGTAAGGACTGTAGGATCCAGAGGGGTTGAGGAAACCAGGAGAATGTGGTGCACAGAATCAACTAAGCAGGGATAACAAGGGCTCAGAGAAACTGAAGGGACAATCATGGATCTGCATAGCTCTGTGCCAGGTGTTTTCTAATCAGACGTGCCATGAAGCCTTAAGCTCCACCATATTCATTGGCAGATTTGATGACAGAATTGGGTATTCGTAAAGTGGGAGAATTAGTGTGTTTTTTAAAGAGGGGGAGACAGTTTTTTCCACATTAAAAATAGAAAACACTATTACAATGGAGGGATTTAGGTCTCTGTATGATAATATGCTGGACAGTTTGAAAATGGAGTGATTAAATTAGAGAATAAGTAATTTAGATGGAACTTATGTAATGTCAATTATAAACATCAGTCTTTTATTTATAGATTTTTATTTAAATTAGAAACAATCTTATATTTTA